GTATGTCTATCCATATCAGAGAGGGAACACTCGTCGCTATCGGTGTCATAATTAACTGATCGGCACTCAAAGTCTCGCTCATTGAGACACAATTGCATGCAATCGAGTCTTGACATCACTTTAACACTCTTTTTGCCCATTCTTTTCAATTCAAAACCATTGACTCTTTCGAAAGCCCAGCCCTGAGTACAGGACTTATTCTTGTCTATAAAATAAAACAATAAATATTAATTGATATCATATTATATATAATCCGCAATATTATGTTAATTTTTAGTGATTAATCATTTCTGTGTCTTATATCTCATATGAGTGGTTGTTTTGGCATTCGTTATATATTATAATATAAATTTATTCTATAAGTAATCAAATAGTGAAGAATTAGATAGAAATTAAACAAAAGAGAAACAAAATACTAGTTCAGCACTCAATCAAGTAATTGTCTATAAATTGACTTTAAAAAGTAATTCTTTGAAATATAATTAGTTTAATAAGTGATTGATTAATAAACTAATTGTTTACCTTTTAAACAGACTTTTTGGCCATAAATAGTGAAGACTGGAAACTGAGAAGAAACCAACGCTTCGGGTCTTTCGTTGGCTGAAGTCCTCAACAAAACACATAATCCGGTCTCAAAGTTGAATGATTTGCACGTGTCGTCCGTTAGACACGAGTTGAGGCATTCCTGGAGATGTAATATTCCGGGTATTTTTGCCACCGTATCCGACGGTCCCCTAAATGTATAGCCAGTAATCAACTCAAATGTGACAACACTTCCCGCGGGACAGACATCTGTGAGGAGAGACGGGATTTTGTTATGACTTTTGTAAATACATTGATAATTGAAACTTAATTCATTAAATTAAATCAAGCGTTACATAAAATACTTGTTATTAATAAATAAATAGACAGAAAAGACATAAAATTTACAATTATAAATGTAAATAAAAAATATATCTATAAACTTACCATTTTTCTGGGCATTAATGCAACAAAAAAGCGTTAATTTCAACACAATTGTGATTATAAGTGAAGAACGTTTAATGTGTAGAAAATTGTTTCTAATGGCCATCATTTGCGGGAATGAGTTAACAATTTAAATGCAAAACTTTACTTATATTAAAAGTTAGACACCAAAATATTGGCCACAAATCGGTAATTTCTTTTCAAAAAGACACTTTTTATTTATTAAGTAATAATTCGCGGAAATTGTGGTAAAATTCCATGAGATTTAAAACATAATAAATTTAAAAAATAAAGATTTTCATCCGATTTTCGAAAATAACACAATTTTATAAAATATTTATAAGATTTGCATTATTTTGAAATAAAATTCTTTGCGATATAACATTAAATAATGTGAAAATATCGATGCATTCAATTTGAATATACTTTGTGTATAATTGATGAAACAATTATTTAAATATTTAATTATTATTATTAAGTAAACTATTGAGATGAGCGAACACAATATGCTAAACAGCATAACCAGTGCTCTCAATGGGAATATTTAATTGGCAAAAATGTGTACATTTTCCTCGAATATGGACTAAAATAATTCATTACTTATACAAAAAGTTACACAAAGTTTGTATACAATTCTGGCATTTTTTCACTCCATCACAACATATATCGCTGCAAAGCGTTTGCAAACCTATTCACTGAATTCATCAACATTTCTGAGCCTCTCATCGGAGGAGCCTTTTTCGCAAAAACACGACTTCGAGTAAAAAACTTGATCTGAAAGGCAGGCAATAGTGACGGCAATGAAAATTTTTTGGTGTTGACCTTCACTCGCAAACAGGTAGTAAACGCTACGTTAAGACATACCCCAACTCTACTAGTCTGACAACTTTTACTTATTGCTGATTCCCTTCGATTCCCCGTTCCCTAAACTCTTGATTGCAGGAATCTCTTACAGTTCCCTCTAATATATAGTTAATTTTTGTATATAAAGTCATAATAAAACTATTTTAAACTAAATGATTATGATGCTTATGGTTTATTTTAAATTTATACTACTGTATAAAGTATAAAACCTATAAATTATAATACTGTCAGGTCAACTAATTCTGTATTGTAATAATGAATACCTAATAATTAAATATAAAGAATATAATTTATATGAAATTGACATAAAAACAAACACTACATTACAAGAAATTCACGAAAAAAAAGCAATATTAAAAGAATTCCCGTTCCGTAGAGAACAGGGAGATTTTAAAGTGTATTACATTACAGGGATATTTAATAACAGGTATATTATAATTCAACCCCACTTACTCTCTCCCTTGTCTCCGACTCATCTCTCTCTCTCTCTCTCTCTCTCTCTCTCTCT